GTTTTGAATTATTGCTTTAGTTTTATTAGGTAATTTGATATTTAAGTAGCTGGGATTAGTTTTAATTAAATAAATATGGCCCAAAATATGGATTCCACCTCTTCCAATACTAAAGAACCTATAAAGAGTCTTAGGTTTACAGCAGATGACGACTTAGCCCTTCTAAGAGAATTTGTTGCTAACTACTAAATCCACTGGCAGACGTTGAACAATATAGCACTGGAAATAAGCACTTTAGCCCTTTAGTTTTAAAATACCTAGTAAACAAAACACTTTCAAAGTTTTAAATTCAAAGTTAGGTTAAGTTTAAATAACGGACGCGACGCGATCAGAATTCTTTCCGATCCGATAACTATAAATGAAGAGAGTTAACACCACCTCACGTAAAGGAAATAACACCTGGCCTTATTAACGTCCATGCACGCTATTCGGTTTAGCGATATCTCTCTATTACGCTGTTTATTGTTATTTTACGGGAGTTTCTTTTTGCGCACAGGATGTTTGACTCGTTTGCACATCGTCATAAAAAACAATTTTCGTACCACGAATTAGGGACAAGATTTTTATCTGTATACTTATAGGATACCTAATCTGTGCCGATAGTAACTATTTTCAAATTCGACATTAGTTTATAGACATTATTATTTATAATAGTTTACTTAAATTTACCTACAATAGTTTAATAAGTAAGTATTCATTATTTTATCAAGAAAAATAAAGCAGTACCTATCTGCTGGCGGAACGAATAGATATGTTACAAGTGATTTTATTTTGTGAGGAAATTTGCTTCTTGGCATCAAGGGCTTATGCTCAAAGATATTCAAATAGGAATCTTCCTGATAAGCGTTCTTTTGAAAAAGTACTTATCCTATTTCGCAGAGCTGGTAGTGTGGTTTATAAAAAAAACCTATTAGGCAGTTGCGAAGAAAATGAATTTGCCGGCTCTTTTATATAAAATCCATATATCTACAAATCTACAATCATCGTAAAATAAATCAAAGAACTATTTCTTCGTTTTTCTTGATAGAATAATGAATACATATTTAATAAATATTATTTATTAAACTACTGTAGGTAAATTAAATAAAAGTAAACTGGTATAAATTTAAATAAGTCCATAAACTAATTTCGATTTTGAAAATAGCTACTGTCACTAGAAACTTGCCATGACGACACTAGCCCTCTTGGTTGCCATTTTATTAAAAAATTGCTCTTTATTCAAAATCTCAGCTAGATAGGTATAGGAAACCCTAATATAATTTAAAAGAGCATTTGAATCTGCTTCGATTTAAGTAAAAAATACAGGGTGTTGTATTTGAAATAACGAAGTCTTTATGTAAAATAAATTCTTAAAATAGATCAGCAATTTTTAATACCCCTGTATAAACCTAAGAAAGCAATAACATTTTTCTGTAAAGTTTATTTCTCTACCTTTAAACTCAGCACAATAATTATTATTCTGAAAAGTAATGTACAGGGTGTTAAAAATCTATTCTACTGTAGCATGAAAATTTAAATATTTTTAAATATCTCAAAAACCAAAGATTTTAAATATATTTAACCTTTATAATAAATACCTTTTTTTGGGCACATCCTGTATATTTCAAAATAATTTTAAATTGTGCACATTGTCTCCCCACATACACCCATAAAATATTTTGTTTCTACATCTTTCCGTTTTCGTATAATCCACCGAGACGAATGAGGTGCGGCACCCTGTATGTTGTCAATTTTAAATTAAGATTCATCTCATAAATCCATGACAATCTGGCAGTGCTGTCGCCATCGCCTGTCACTCAAAGTTGATCACGTGCATCGGAAATTGTTTTGCGATTACCATAGTTATTTATAACTCATGTCTAAATATTCGGATATCTATGACAGGTAGTAAACAAACTCAAAAGAAGCTTTCTAAAAATCAAATATTGTCGAAAATCATTTTACATTAGATATTTCTTTGACGGCCACTCTGCTAGTGTTTAAAAAACGTGAAAATAAATAAAAAAATCGCATTAAATAAATTACCATTCTACATGCCGAACAACAACATGCGAAACAAACGAAAATCGAAAACCAAAAATCAAAATCAAGCCATCTGTCATGCTATCGGGGCAAACCTGCGGCTTGTGCTCCACCACGTGCTGCGTCGACTTCACGAAAAACTGCTGCTTGTGTGCGCAGCTCTTCACGTTCGCCCCTCCGAAATCGTAAATGCTCTCCTCGAACCTCTTCACATGGTCCTCCACGTGGTAAATGACCGGATCGGGATGATAATTAGGGAGCGACTCGATATCCCGAATCGCAGCGTTCCTTTCCAAGGAATCTTTCCGCGAAACGTGACCCTGAGACCGTTCCAAAGAACCGAACTTCGGGGAAGAGCTTTTCGGTTTGCGTTCTAATGAACCTAACTTCGGACTAAACATACCGGTTTTCTCTAGGTTAGTGTGAGAGTTATACACGCCTTGCGCGTTCCTTTCGAGAGAGTTAAGTTTAGGAGAGGTAGTGGCCTCGGCGTGCCGGCGTTCCAACGAACCCATCTTAGAAGCGGAACCGTCTGTACTAGTACGCGAAGGCGTGCGTTCCAAGGTTCCCGAACCGACGACGGCTGATTTCGGGGGTTCGTCCGGAACCTCCGGATCGAGTTTTTGCAGGTTCTGCATGGGGATGGGGCAGGTTTTGAGGACGGGTTCGGGAATGTCATCTTTTTTATCGAAATCTACCGCTACCGTATTAAATACCGAGGCTGGTACCGTATGCTATTGCCGGGGTGACGCCTCTCCGTTCTCCTTCCTTCATCAGGTGCGCCAGCACTTCGGGGTTCTGCGCCACAATGTAGGTCTGGGGGACGGGATTGGACATGTCGAGGGAGGCCAGCGACGACGAGTCCAAAGCTGGAAAAAAAATATTTTTGAAGATAACAAATTATTCAGCATGTTCAAGAAGCTTTCAAAAAAACTTTGAAGAAAAAGATTCAGGAAGGAGCATCTCAAAAAACTTTGCACAGTAGAAGATTAATATGGCTGACTTAAATTCAGGTTTATCAGTGCCATTTTGATTTTATTTAATGTGAAAAAATATAATGTAAAGTAGACTCAATAATTAGTTGGTTTTATGTTGTTAATAAATGTTATTAATAATTTAAAATTGCTAAAAATACACATTTCTAATAAAAATAGATATCAGATACGCTACTGTTAATATAAACACGTCAAATTGAAGTATCCTAATTATTTTTGACAACTAGTAAAAGAATGCGAGAATGCAAGAAAAAATATAATATATCTCCATAAATATTGTTACGTTTTTCGTCGGTTCCGTGTGGACAGAAAGTCACAATTTATTTAAACACAATTTATTTACCACTAATTAACAAAAACAATAACGTTTAAAAAAACTTAAAGAACTATTTATAAGTTATTTACAATTTATCTAAAAGGAATTTATTTTGAATTATCGCGGCGAATGTAACTGTACGCGTCGACCGGTTGTTTTTCTGTCCTCCTCAGGCCTCAGGCGTCTGCTTATATATGAGTGCAACAGACAATCCAGATTTGTCTCGACAATTCTTATTCGTTCTAGAACGTCGGCGTCGCTGGGCGTATGAGTCATAGGCGAGTGGCCGGGCCTAAGGCCGAGTTCACACGGTACGGGTCCGCAACAATATCAACACTAAACATAAATAATCTATACAGGGTGAGTCTTAAATAAGCGTAAATATTTTAGGGCTATGTAGTATATTTCGACCCCAGACGATTGAGTTTTTTTCACAAATTTCTTTTTTTTTTAAATTTGGAGTTTTTTGAAAAAAAATTTGGATTTTTTTAAAAATTTTAGTTAAAATAACATGGCAACATAGGTAGTAGATTAAATTTACAAGAAAGAAAATCCAGAAAAAATCCATTGGTTAATACTTAATTAACTCAATACTCAAAATACTAGTAATTCAAAATTTTAGCAAAAAACTGCACAGAGATTTCTTAAGCGGCATAATTAAACACTAAGAAGCAATTTTCGGAAATTTATAGTTTGACGGGGTGACATTTTCTATAAAAGCTTTTTAAAATCTATTCTAGGTGTATGAAATTTTGGTAAGACATACGCGAACAGATATTCGAGTAGGATTAGGCTAAGCTTTTTCAGATTAAAATAAACTCTTTGTTCATTTTTTAAGTTTAGAATAAGATGATTATGCCTGTTTGCCTGTTTTTTGCAAGTTCCAATCCTAGATCATATATACTTACGTGGATAAATCAACGCAATAAGTTTAGCATTAAAAAATATGTCTCCAACATCACGACATGCCATTTTCAAACCTTTTTTATTGCACTCATAAAACGTTCAACAGGTTTGTCTTTCTTGAGGACCTTACTTTGCGCCCGTGCGCATTAAAAGTTGCACGTATTTCTAAAATAATCACAATTTTATACGGTTTAGAAAGTACAAATTATACATTTACTGCGTTTTCATGAGTATTGAAATTGATTTGAATCCAATACCAATTCTCCATTTTCATGAGAAATTTTCAAATCGATTTGAATTCGTTTTGAGATTTGACGTTTCATCTGTTTGTCAATCAACTAATAGCATGTCAATTTTTAATTGTCATGCTCAGGGCGGAAAGTATTTGCAAAGCGGTTCCACCGTTTAAAACGGAAATTTCAAATGAAAATAGTTAGCATGCCCTAGTCACTTGGTGGTAGTGCACTGTAAGTTTTAGGTTACGAAGTTAAATACTACTTATTGCCATGCTTTATTAAATCAGAATTTTTGTAGTTTCCATAGTTTCCAACGCCATTGTCATATTATTATTGTCAAATTCCTTCAAAAAATATTGTCGTTGTCATAGCGCCAATCATAATAGTATCAAATAAATTATTATCAAAACGTTTTTCAAACTATAATTTGTTATATGTGTTTTAATTAGACAATTTCTTTTGTTTGTGGCCCTAAAAATATAATGTAAGTCTTTTATTTTTGCCATCATTTTACCTATTTATATTTACTCCATTTACAAAACTTTGGGCGTATTACGTTGGTCTTGTTTTATTATAATAAACGACGTTTAAATATTTGACTTATACATAAAAACTTTACATAATAAATAATATTTCACATGTTTGGCTTTAATTTTATTTAATAATTGTATAAATTATACTTTTAAATCTTATTTTTTACACATCACAACGATACTTGTTATTGTATTGTTGAATTTGTGTAAAAAATAAGATTTAATAATCAAATTTAATTATTTTAGAGTAAAATTCAACAAATACGCTCATTTAAAAAGCCCGCGCTTCGATCCATTTAAAACAAGCCCTACAATAGATGGCGCCACTTCTGTAGGACCATTTTTCAGTATGGCAGAGTCCATTCTTTTTCTAGCTAGGTATATTCTTTGGTCATGCTATTAGCTGATGGTTGTTTTGTTTACATATTTTTATTTTGTTTTGGATTTAAAATAAATTTAAATGAATTTCAACTATAGCATGCTGAGAAAACTTGTTTTATACACTGTAAGTTTTAGTACGAAAGAAAATACAGAAAACGGACATGCTTTGCGCATGTCTCAATCTGATCCTAGTACTATTTTCGACATCTCGATCTCGATCCGATCCCAGAAAGAGGCGAATCGACCTTGAGACTCAAAACGATTTAAATACCTGTTTTCATGGAGATTTCAATACCAAAACTGTTTTCAAAACGATTTCAAAAACCACATGCATACTTTCTGGTTAAATGTATTTTAAGTTCCTGGCTAAATGTATTTTTTATATAATTTAATTTTTCTGACAGTAAACATTCAATTTATTGTTCAAATATAAACATTTTACAAATTAAATTTTTAAAATTAATACATATTCAAATTTGGCGTGTGGACGATAGGTCCTTGACAAGGATAGATAGAGTAGAAAGACCGCGTGTGCAGCAAAAAAAGAAGATAAATGGAAGTCGTTGATATGTTTGCGACAGTTTCCATAGTTATTTACTTATCCACGTAAGTATATGTATATGATCTAGGGTTCCAATCATAAAACAAATGTATAAAACATTCGAATTTTATGCGGACGATGTAGCGGGAAAAATCTAGTTCTGTATATATGATAACTACCTTGCATCGGGTGTCTGGTAGGTTTAGGAGGCGGACATGACTCATCCATAGGACCCCACGACATTGCCGCCACCCTCCTAGTCTCGCGCCGTAACGTATCCTGCTGCGCCTGGTTTTCCTCTAGCAGTATTTCCTGGAGGATTTCCTTAATATCCTTGAAACTGGGCCTCTTGCTAGGCTCGTACGCCCAGCACTGGGACATGAGGGAATAGAGACGGGGAGGACACTTGTCCGGCAGGGGTAGACGCTCGCCGTTGTCGATTTTTCCGATGACGTCGTTGTTCTTGACGCCTTGGAAGGGTTTCACGCCGAGCATCAGGATTTCCCACATACATACTCCTGAAAATAATATGTATATTTGATATCAATTAAACTTTTAGTTACGCAATCGAGGACTCGATTTTTAAATTCATTGTTGCTAACATATTCGGACATATTCGGCGCCGAACTGACTAACTGGAATTTAAATTTCCCAATAGGGATTCAGGTGATAGCTCTGCTGTAAAAATATCAAATTGCCACATTCATTTATTTATTTCCTGACATTGTCATTCGTTTTGACACTTTAGTTTTGTATTACGAGCATAAATAAATGAAACAAGTTTAGATTGGAAAGCCCGTCAAAATTTTGGATCGCCACTGTTGAACGTGATCTGGCGCTGCTATAGCGGTTGCTAGGAACAACCGCAAACAACAACAGAAATAATTTTTTCTTGTCCATATCTATTGTCAAAGTCAGAATCTTCAAAAATTATAAAATCTTTCAAAATCTAAACCGCTCTCATTGAAAAAATTCCGAAAAGTGTTTATAGCGTCCATTTTCAAAGTAATTATTGCTATCTTGTGAGTTTAATTTAAGTTTTATTTAGCACCAAATAGTGTTTACCAATCTAAACTTGTTTCATTTATCTATGTCTTTTTGTTTGTGGCCCTAAAATATAATGTAACTCTTTTATTTTTTCCATCATTAAAGTACCTATTATATATATATTTACTCCATTTACAAAACTCTGGGTGTATTACGTTGGTCTTGTTTTATTATAATAAACGATGTTCATATATTTGACTTCTATTTTTTGCATGTATAAATTTTACAATTAAATTTTATTTTTTACGCAACACATAGTAAAGCTTTACATTAGATTTGTTAATATTGTGTAAAAAATAACTTCTAAGATGGTTTTCATATTTAAAATGATAGTTTCAAATAAAATTATGTAAATGAGCGTATTTAAATTCAGACCATCTCAATAGATGGAACCATTTTTTAGTATGGCACTTTCCTGTCTTTTTCTTGGTATATTATTGGACTAAAGTGTTCTCGAATAGTTGCGCAGGTAGGCAAATTTGTTTCTTTAGTAAGCCACTGCTGACAATTAGTCTCCGTTGAATTAAAGCAGCAGTGTTTACAAAAAATAACTATTTTATTTTGTAGATTTTCTTCCGGTAGCGAAATACCCATAAAACTTTTTTGGAAAGATTATAGTCTAAGAGTCCATTTTCAAAGCAATTGCCATCTCTAGAGTTTAATTTAAGTTTTATTTGAGTAATGTTGAGAAAGTATTTAAGAAAGTTGGTTTCATATATTTTACTATGTTTTTGAATATGCGGCCCATCTATACTATACCTGTTGTAAATTCACATACTGATAGAAGAAGATCCTTATTTTTTATTTAGTCCGTTAGTTTAGTATTGAATATGTCGATGAAGTCTCATATGCAGCGCGTAGAATTTCCGACTATATGAACTGAGGATTCCAGAGTTCGAGATTGGTTCAAAACTTTTTTATTTTATTTTCGTTTATATTCTGATAGTAAAGTATTAAATATTTGTTTTTTTTTAATCATCAGAATTATTTAATACTTTACTATCAGAATATAAACGAAAATAAAATAAAAAAGTTTTTGCCCTGACCTAGTCTCGAACTCTAACTCCTCGCTTGATAGGCGGACCTCTACGCGCTGAGCTATGGAGACTCGGTCGGTTTATATTCAATACTAGAATTTAAAGGACTAATAAAAATATAGGATCTTCTTTCAATGCGCAGTAGGGAACGCAACGTTTACCGGCAACCAGACGGGCCGCATGCTGTTCCAGAGAACATAGTAAACGATATATTAAAGAGCCAGATTTCTTAAAATACTTGTTTTCCCGATGTTGCTAGCTCTCCTATTATAGTGTGTAGTCTATTTGAAATTGTCCCAAATCAAACCGGAATTACTTACCAAACATCCACACGTCGCTCGCCGTAGTAAACCTCCTAAAATTAATACTCTCCGGACTCATCCACTTAATAGGTAACTTTCCTTTCGAGGCCTTATAGTAACTTTGGTCTTCCCCCATCCACCTCGATAGCCCGAAATCGGCCAATTTAACGCACTTATCCGAACTAACGAGTACATTCCTGGCCGCGATGTCTCTGTGAACGTATTTCTTCGATTCCAGATAGCTGAGCGCGGTGGACAGTTGGTAGGCGTAGGTGAGCAGCGCGGATAGGTCCAGTCGGTGCTTGTTGTTCTGGAGGTAGGCGCGAAGCTCGCCCAATTTGGCCAGTTCCATGACGATCCAGACGGGCGTTTCGGAACAGAAGCCTATCAGTTTGATGATGTGGGGGTGGTCGAAACGTTGCATTATGACTGTAAAGAAAATGTGACCGATAAAAATTATATATATTAATAAACATATAAAACAAGTAAAGTAATCGCAAAACAATTTCCGATGCACGTGATCAACTTTGAGTGTTAAGCTATGGCGACAGCGCTGCCAGATTGTGATGGATTTATGAGATGAATCTTAACGTAAAATTAGGAAACAATATATTTTTTAAAGATTTTTACGTTTTATTTTTAATTTAATAATTAATATTTTAGTAATTAATTAATTTGATTTATAACTTATTTCACTTATTACATGCATTATGAAAAAAATGCATTTAACCAATTTTGTAGAGAATTTTCTGAGCTTTAATTTTCTATATAAGGTATTTTTTCGTAGGTTTCAAATTTTCCGAGATATAAGCTAAAAAGTCATGAAAGTGACACTTAACCCCTCCCCCCTCTCCTCGAGCTCATCAACTATCTTCGGGGACTTTTAACACATATCAGCCCAAATCTAGAGGAATCATTTAAAACCATTTTCAAAACTGTGGGATTTTTTTCCACCGATTTGTCTAATTTGACTGAGCTATTTACAGTTGAAAGAGCCATATGAGATAATACCGGAGTATCTGCAAAACCGTTAAAAATGTTGGAATACCCTAAATACAAAAAATGTATTTTTGGGTGTTCGATTTAAAAAGAAACGAAGAAAAATGCTTTTATAAAAATTTGGCGTAGTACATTGAACACCCTGTATGCTTTAAGATTACGATATTTATAGCAAAGTAAGTCTAAACCATCTAAAGTAAATACCTAATATAGTTTTGATTTCAGGACAGTCCTTGTATTTGTAATATTTTTTTTAAGAATGGTTGAAAAAAAATATATTTTTTATTTATTAATTAATATCTCTGAAACTATCAAAAAATATTTAAACATTTTTTAAGATAATGTAAAATGGTCTGAAAGGAAGCCAAAAATGCAATAATATGCAGGGGTTCCTTTTAAAAAATCTTCCCAATTCACTACTAATACTTTTTGAGCCACCCTGTAGATGGTTAAAATATTTTCCCTGAAATACACCATAGTACATATACTTACTTTTAGGTTTGCATTTAAACAAGGATTCCCAAATTTTTATTCTAGGGCTTACAGATGTCAGACGCACCTTTGCCGAACCTGTATATTCATAGTTCTTATAGTTTAGACATGCAAATGTAAATCTTTGAAACACCCTGTACATTATAATAATTTTTGAAGTGGAGCTTTAAAAATTCATATTTTTACATAGTTGAGCCATAATACTCCCAATCGAATATAGTTCTTTAAAAATTATAACAATCGTTTTTAACTACCTGGAATAATAAAACATAAAAATACATACATGAAAGTATAAATATTTCAAATTGCTGTAAACTCCTAGCTTGTACACACCTACCATATTTGCAATGCCATTTATAATTGTATTTAAAAATAAATTACTACGTCAATAACAATGTGCCTTATTTGGCAAAATATGTACAAATAAACTGTTGTGCATGTAATTTCAACTTCCCCGTTGTCACGTAAGCTTTCCTATTACAAAATAACCTTCGATTCTAAAATACGAGAGCCTATCGACCAGCGACATCTTAATTCGCCATACAGAAGTGTTAATGGGCAATAAAAAACAATTAAACATCTATAGAAAAGCGCACGATTTTTGAATAGGTTCTTTGAATTTATGACAAATCAAAATTTAATGATACCATATCTGGAGTGTATTGTGGGCGCGACGATCATTGTAGTGCTTACAATTTTATTAACATGTTGTTCATTTTAAATTAATAATTATTTCTAAATAAAGAATAATATATATAAGATACAATTCTATGTTTTTCAATTCCTATTGTCATTGCTATTGTCTACTATATTGACTATCTATTATAATAATTATAAATATAAAAGCTCAAAGAGTTTTTTATCCTATCCTTCCCGCGGCTACCGCTTCTCCAATTTTGATGATTCTTTTTTTAAATGAAAGGTACATATATTTTTGATATCTCCTTCCTTAATCTTTTTATGCAAAGATTAGAACAAATGGTCCCCGGTGGCGTAGAGGTACAGGCTCTCGTCTACCAATCTCAAGGTTGTGGGTTCGAATCCTACACCCGGCATTTCATCAGCCGACTATTTTTATTAAAATAAAAATAGTTCGGGTACCTAGGCCGACTCAGCCTTAAATGAGTACTTGGGATTCACAATCCTGAGGTAATAATAGACGGTTGAAGCGTAGTGCTAGCCACATTACCTTCCTTGTATACTGAACGGCTCTAGAATGACAAGCTGTACCTTGCTACTCTCAAGACGTTGATCGCTATATACGGGAGCTATTATTATTATAGAACAAATATTCTTTTAAATGACATTAGTTTGTTAGCTAGACAAAGCAAATTTCGGAAATTCATCCTCTTAGAGAGTAAAATTATCGAAAAGTTCGTTGTATGAAAATTCCTTCCTATCTTGTCTAGAAGTATGAAATTCTGCCGAAAGAAACCTTAAGGGAAGAACACTTAGAAGAGATTCATGAAATTCACCAACAAAATGAATTTGACGGATTTAATTCCAGTTTACGGTAAATTCTACCGTAAGTTATATTGCACTGTTCATTGCACTGTAAAATGCTGTAGATTACCACAAGCAAAATTATATTTATGTCGCTAATAACTCAATAAACTATTTTATACACATGTAATAAAAGTTATTGAGTAACATTGAAACTCGATGAACAATCATTTCAATCTTGACCTTTCTTCAGAACAGTGAAATTATTTTTATAACAGTAAGGCACTATTTTCTAGTAGGTGTAAAATTAATACATAGTCGTTGTTTTTCTAGTTCTTTGTTTACTGTTGATTATGTTATGTAATACAAACTGTTCACTGCTCTTTAATGTTTCTTCTCATTTAAATAGAAACCGGACTGAATAATCGAAATTTTCTTTGTTGTTATTTATTTTTTAAATAATTTCAGCTGAAAAAATCTATTTACAATTTTGTAAATATTTAAGTCAATTCTCTAGTTCAGTTAAGTTGACAACTAGTTATCAAGCCGACAACTTCATCACAGACCGTTTATAACCAGCCTGCACACTTAGGATCGTTTGCATTGAAGTCTGTGTACCTCATATTAACTTTATTGATTAACTTAATTATGGTTCACATTTTCCTATTAACATGGTAAATGAGTTGTTAACTTGATTATTGGTAATCGAGTTTCGCCCAAGGTATGGTTTGGTTGAACTGTGTTCCTGTCTTTACCATATTACTGTGACAATATTATTTGTATAACGTTTTGTATTATCTTTTGTTTGTTTGTTTGTGTACCTTGTTTGTTTACTTTGTTTGTTTAGTTTACCTTTGTCTACAAATTGAAAAAATTTTTGACAATAAGGGCATTTATTTATTTATTTATTTATTTATTAGGATAATAGGATATGATCTACTTTTTCTCTTCCGATGAAGTCTCTTTAAAAGTAAGTTACTTGGGCAATTGGGCATATGTTTATATCCAAAAGATCCAAACTCCAACCGTGGAAGGATGTGTACCCTGGGAGCAAGAACTGTTGTCAGGAGGATGGGAAATACCCTGTCCCCTCTACAACAGGGGTATGATGGGTTATAGACGCAGTTCAAGTTGCTGATAGACAAGGGCTGATGGGAGTTGGTAGATGGCCAAAGAAGATAAAAGGATAAAAGTGAGTTATTGAGTATAGAACAAGAATGAGGAGCTAAGTAGGATACAATAAAAAATCATATACACAATTGTTGGAAAACAGCATTAATAATAATTAATAAATGGGTGTTTTAAATATAAAGCTTCATTTATATTGCTCATTGGAAAAACAACAGTGCCAGATTATTTGAGTCTATCGGAGACGGTTGTTTTTTGATTATATTTTAAAAGACGCTTATTTAACAAAACAGCATCACAAGTTAGTCCGGCTCCAACAATCGACCGAGCAAGCATATCGAATAATATCTCTGTATCGGGATTTGAATTTCAATAATAAGTTTAGTTCTTTTGTAATAGTTTTATAATATTATAAAATAAAGCATTTTTTAGTGTTCTCATTGTCAATTATTACAACAACAATATGGTACTTACAAGCTTCCTCTAAAAACTTCTCAGTAGTGTCGGCATCTCCTTTGCACGTTTTGACGGCTACGGGAACACTGTGTCCATCTTTGGTACGAACGAGGCCTTTGTGGACGTCTCCAAATTGACCTTCTCCTAAAATTTCTCCCAATTCTATTTGGTTACGATCCAGTTCGTAATCCTTCACTGAAACAAATATAGGTCATCATGACAAAAAGATTGTTAAAAAAATATAGTTTATAAACCTGTTTTTATTTGTTGCCAATAACCGGCAAAATTTAGTTATAATTGTTCCAAAAAAGTGTTCTATTGTTTAGTGATTCAGGCGTAGTTTTTAACACAAATATAGGGTGTCCCAATATTCCGTGGACATAAAGTTACTACGCACTTTTGGAATAAACACATTTAACAAAAAAAAACATATTTTTTCAGACATTTTAAGAACCGTTATTCCGATTTGAATGAGATTTTAGCTGTCTATGTTTTGCTGCTTTAACATTTGAGTTTCACAAAAATCAAGAAAAAGTAAGGGTAAAAACTACCCCCACCCGAATATAAATATTAGTATAATTATTTTCCAACTCCACCAACGATCGATTTTTTTTTCGTAAAATAGTCCTTCTAGTATTTACTACATTTTTTGTCCCTTGTAAAAAAAACGCTGCTACGCATACTTTTTGAGGGAAGAAATTATTTTCCAAAGCTGACTTCCAAAAAATGTTTTTTTCTCACATCAAGCTATGGAGACGCATGAAATCTATTATGCTCTAATAATCTACTTCCCAAAAATATGGAATTTTATGTTACTATCACAAATTATAATTGACAATAAGCTTCATAAAAAGCATAAAAAATAATAAATTTTAAATTTATTAACGTTTTTCATTTTCAAAACTGTGGGAATTTTTTCCACCGATGGGTATTTTTTAAAGTAATTTGACTGGGGTATTAGCAAAATATAGACACCAAAAGCTCATTAAATTCCAAATGAAATTTTGGCAAAAATGTTTAAATTTGTTGAATAAATTCAGATATCGAGTAGAACTTCATTTGGCTTTATAGAGCAAATGATTGTAACATATATTTTATTTAGATTAAAGCTGCAAAAATTAGTTTAAACCGAATTTTATTATCGCTATGTTGGTCACATCGCGCCGTTTTCAGCAAGGTTGTCGTTTATTATTTGACAATTATCCTAATGCCATTAGTCATTATTTAGTATAATATCGTGTTGTTGCTAAATCTTTGTGAGTAATTCTCGTTTTGCCTATTTTCATAGTCTTTTTTTTTTTAAATTTGTACTTTTAAGCACAAACAGTTCTTGTAAGAATAAATTTTCGAATTTTTGTATTGCATTTCTTGAAATTGTGTGTTGAAAATATGCTGAAGCATTTAAACAGTCGAAGCAAAGAGTTTGTAGCTTCCCTGATAAACTATTTTGAACCAGAACGTGACAAAAAAGGTCCTTTATTACCCTTGACTACAGTTAAAGAAGTAAGTTTGATTGATAAGCACATTACACCACTTTCGAAATTACTTCTACGTAAGTTTTTATTAAATTCTGTGATTCTTAGTTAGTGCATTAATAACATCCTCTTACTTGTTATTACCACTTATGGCGTTGTAAGATGTACATCAATAAATAAATAAATAATGCATAAATAAATAAATAACCCTTAATAACGCTTAGAATAATCTTCATAATGGACTAGTTTTTGCCAGTATGTAATAAGTAAAATAAGCTATAAAACAAATAAATCAATTAATCACTAAAATACTAGTTATTAAATTAAAAATAAAACGTAAAAATCTTTAAAAATGATATTCATCTCACAAATCTATCACAATCTGGCAGCGCTGTCGCCATCGGGTTCAGCGTTGTCACTCAAAGTTGATCACGTGCATCGGAAATTGTTTTGCGATTACCATAGTCGTTCTATGTGTACAGAATATTGGGTTACACTGTATATTGTTGAATTTTACTGCATAGTTTGTTAGATATGTCCCCAGAAGAATATACTATGACCATATTTTAAGCATTTTACGATTCTGTAATATGATAACGCCAACTAATTCCGAAATTCGAAGGCAATTAGAGCCTGTCGCACGAAACTTAAATTACGACTGCACAGCGCCTGTTCCGCGCTGTTTGTTCATTCCAAAAATACTCCATTTCATGTCATGGGAAAATAAATTAAAATGACGCAGTATTAAAATGTAATGTGCGGTTTCAAATATACCAGCTTAAGTTTGTAGTTTTATATTTACCATACCTTTTATGTTCTTTTTTTAAGTGTTTACATGTCTGTTATTAATGCCATAGACTATGCATAGAATAAAAGAAACATAAACTGAGTTTATTAAAAAATACTTTTTGTAAGTAATGTCTATAACTTTTTGTTGGGTTTATTTGAATAAACTTTTAAAAATATGGCAATTAAAAATTAAAGTTTTTAATAAAAATATCTTCTATATGTAAAATACACTTTTTATATTCCGATAAATGAAGGTTAAAACTACGGCTTAATTCGCCGACCGGGACTTTTCAGGCGGATTGTGGACCTTTTGGGGAGTAGTTTTAGGGAAAAAAATTGTAACACCGTGCTCGGTCATATTTGAAAAATTCGAAAAAATTCGAAAAAATGGGCCCAAATGGCCGAAAAATCAGTTTTTCGCAAATATCTGCTAAAATATGCAATTTACAAAATTTTTCTTGAAATAAAAAATGAAGCTTAGGTAATTACCTACAAGAATTGTCCTTATCATTTTTTACGTAAAATTGGTAGTTTTCGAGATATTACGCCTCGAAGATTCCTAAATTTTCTCTTCAAGTCTTAACGCTAAGGAGATATACAAAGACAAAGGAGATAGGACAAGTTGTTTAATAACTCGTCTAAAATTTAATATTTTTTGATGATTCAAAGTTCATTTAAAAGGTAGAATCAACAGCTATCTCATTTTGGATCTTGTTTGAATTTTGTCATATTTTATAATAGAAAAACCGGGAAAAAATTCCTTAGCACAAAAATTTTCAGATTTTTACAAACTTGTTCATATTTTCTAGTGATGGAAAAAACCGATTAATTTCAATAATCGAGTACTCGAGTATCAAGCGGTTTCAATAATCCAGCGAAATATCGCTCGAGTTATACCATCACTAATATTTTCATGAACATCTTTCGCACAGGACATATTCCTCACTCACTTAAGCGTACAAAAATCATTGCAATACTAAAACCAGGGAAAACGAGTGATGTCCCATCGCCCTGCTAAGTATGGTTTATAAACTGCTCGAGAGAGTGCCACTCAACAGAATCAGTCGGAATTTTTTAGACAGCATTCCCATTGAACAAGCAGGCTTTCGCCCGCATCGTAGCTGCATGTAGATCAAGTCTTATCACTGACAACATTTATAGAGGCCGATTTCAAAGAAACATGTAGGTCGCTGCCGCATTTATAGACCTGACAGCAGCATATGACACCGTTTGGAGACAGGGCCTAATATATAAACTCACTCGCGTCATTCGCAGTAATAAGAATATCCAACCTCATTAACAATATGCTGTCAAATAGAACATTCCAGGTTATAATGGGAAATAACAGGAGCAAAACTATGAAACTGAATGACGGTCTTCCTCAGGGTCGGTTCTTGCCCCATACTCTTCAGTCTATACATCGCGGACATGCTGCAACTGAATTACGAAAATTTGGTTATGCAGACGACTGACATTGGTAACGGCGCACAGGAGGTGGAGGATGCTGAAGTTGTACTTACCAGAGACATAGCAACCATTAGCGAGTATTTTAAAAAAATGGAGACTCCAACCAAGTATCGTAAAACTGAAGTATCTGCCTTTCATCTTAATAATAAGATGACAAAGAGAGAATTGGTGAGTGTACATGGGACAACAAACTACCTTCACTCACAATAAACATCCAAAATATCTCGGAGTTACTTCCTGGACAGGACGCTTACATTTAAAAGAACACCTTGACAAGAATGACGGCAAAGTTGAGGCTTACGTAACAACATACTTCAAAAATTATGTCGCACAACTTGGGGCTCATCAGCATCCACCCCTGAGATCCTCTCTGCGCTGGGTTTGGTGTATCCTGTAGTAGAATACTGTGTTCCAGTGTGGCTTAATAGCAAACACACCTGTATGGTCGATACTCAATTAAACCAAACTATGCGCACTATATCAGGGACCAACACCCCACAATATGGCTGCCCACTCTTAGCAACATAACTCCTCCCAATTTGCGCCGAGAGAACATGCCTTGGTCAGAGAGTTTATTAAAAATAATGAATAACCCTCAGCTGCAGGTCCATGATGACGTACCACACATCCAGGGAAATCGACTACGATCAAGACACCCTCCATTGAAGACTGCACATGAGCTGCACCAAAATAATTTTGATATAAAAAGAGCGATGGAGAGAGAAATGGGAAAAATGAGGCAGCTCCAATATACCATGGTCTACCGTACGTTATTAATGAACCTGCAGGATTCAACCTTCCCCTGTCGAACATGGACAACTCTTAACCACATCAGAACTAACTGCGGAAGATGTGCCGACTCTAAATAGGTGGGGAAAGTCCTTCAGCCGCATGCGACTGTGGAGCTGAGGCGTACTGTCGATCAAACATATAGTGCAAGACTGTCCAATAAGAGCATATATGGGCAACTCAGAAGATGCCTTTATGGCTACTCAGAAGGCAATTGATTATATACAACGACTGGATATCTGTTTATGAGACGAATTAGCCTATTTTTTGTTGTGTATGTCTTTTTTCTTTGTTTATGCAGTTTTTTATTTACATTTTTTGTTATTGTTTGTACAGTTTTTTATATACATTTTTTTTGTTTTACCATTTTGTGTCCTATAACTTAAGATACTGTGATGTAAGCCATACGCTAAATAAAAATAAATAAATAAATAAATCACTAATAATAGTTTATTTCTTAAGATTTTTTTGACAGTTTAATTTTTTTAACATTTACCCCCAAAATCTCAATCGAATCACTAAAAGGACATGAAAAAAAAATTATAATAGAAATATATAATAGTAATAGGTATATAATAGAAAAAAAAATTATAGTAAATCGAAAATAAACGACTTTTACCCCCTGCAGCTACGACACAAAGCAGAATCGGACCTATCTTGATATAAAAAATTCTACGTGAGGAATGTCCCCACATATTTTTTGAAACACCCTGTATAATTCTAAAAAGTAAAAGCAAAAAATCGTATTTTTTTAAATTTTCAAAGTAAAATAACTCGGTTATTTTGGACTTATTTGAAAAACGGCAAAGAGAAAATATGTTTCTTTTCTCAAGATCTACCAGCACCGGAAATATTTGCACTTATTTAAGACTCACCCTGTATAAGAAGTACGTAACATTTACCCAATTTTTATAACACAAATTTTTAATTACCTGCTGGTACTGAATAATCTCCTTCTTCGACAATTTCAGCGTAATCTTCCGACAGCATCGTACCAGTCGAATTCACGCATGTCTTGTCTTTGCCGCTTCTGTTTTTGACTTGCGCAGAATCTAAAATAATAATAAAAACCAGTTGAAATATTATATATTTATAAAATGTGTTATTGTTATTACTAAACTAAACAATTAAACAGGAAGTGACCAAAACTAATTGAAAACGTCAATCAATCCTGATTTATGTCATATACATACTCGTATACTAACATACCAAATTTCGTTATTTATCTGAAAGAAATAAATAAGTAATAGGGGTGAGGGGGATGAGTCACTTTTGAAAAACACCCAGTATATCCGCTTCTTGAGCATTGTAGCTTCAAAACTGACCTACTTTAAGTTTCCCGGTGCTTTTAATGGAACAGATAACGCCAAACTATTTGTTGAAACTCACACACAATCCATGTATTCGTATTGTAGGTCATTAGTTCTATCATTAGACTTCTCAGTAAATGTAGGTGTTGATTTATATGAGAACATAACTATTTATTACGAATAATTTTCTAAACTCTACACCATTCCTATGAATAATAAATAACTTGAAAGTGTATTTTCAAAAAGTAATTATGCTACATTAAGACCTTTTATTATTAAACTAGTAATTAAAATATATTTTATTTACAACCACATAATATGTAATACTGATATTACTGAGTCTTAAAAAATTTGAAAGTGTCTTAATTATCTACATTTCTTCCCTCTTCCATTTCCCTCCCTCGGTTTTCCTCAATTCTGGCCCCATTTAATTAAGCAAATTATTCTTGTAATATCTTTATCAAATACTTATCTAAGATCAACAAAAATAAACAAGAAGATTAACAATAATAATAATTAAAGATTTTAATACATTTATTTGTTGAAGGTAAAAATGCTAGACTTCTTTGGCTTAAAACCTACATTCTGGCGTTTTGAAAAAGCGACGAATTTGTGATATTTTGATATGTCAGTCTTTTCCCTTAATTCTAGCATTGTCCGTATCATGCTGTACGTAGCCCCAAGAGTAGATGGCTTTTTCTGCTTTGCCATGTCGCTAAAATATGCCATCAAGACTGTCTCCGAAGCAATATTCTTAAGCTCCGCGTGCACTGAAGGGGTATCGGCGAGAGCGAGCGGCGCGAGCGGCACGACCGGTCGGAAAGTCGATTGTAGCCGCGCACTGGAGTCGCACGATCGACGGTCGAGAGTACGTCACCAGCATAAGTTCCAATATTAAACTAGGCTTCACATATCAGAACTTTCCGACAACATCTCTGGCTTTATGTTATATAAATTCGAAAGGAACGAGAAATTCAAAACTGTCACGTAGTTGTTTGTTTTGCTGTTGAAAGTTTGCACCATAACAACCACTGGTACCGGTAACTATAGATATGGAAATGCCAAAACAGAAAACGACAAATTTTCGCATATATTTTTTTTTCAAAATAAAATAGTGTCTCTATTTTTTAATTAATGATGGGGTTGTAAATAAAATAGTATACAAACCTCGTAGGAAAGTTTTCATTATTGTCTCGATATTTAGTTAAACTCTCGACAGTAATGAAACACTTCTCTCCTCGGTATGTAATATACTATTAAAGTTTCTAAATTCTTTATATTGTAGCCCATCAAAAAAAATTATAATTACAACGGACAAAGAAATATAATAAAATATTAGCAATAACATAATGTTATTACCAGTGGCAGATGACCCACCACTTGTGACGATTAACACACTGAAGGATGCTATAGGAAATACCATCAAGGCCAAGCAGTAAGACATGTGGCAACACCGTGAGGACTGCGCTACAGATCGAAGACTGTGGCCAGTGGTAGATAGCAAAAAGACAAAACAACCACTGGAGCACAAAAATAACCTAGTACGCATTATTGTAGGTGTCGTCACTGGAAACTGCCCCACAGGGGTAAACCTCGTGAGATGGAAGATTTCCAACGACGACTACTGCAGAGAATGCGGAGACGAAGAAGAAATCATAGATCATCTGCTGTGCCACTGTACGGCACTGAAAAACCGACGCTTTAAAACTTTAAGGCACAGTTTTTTGGAGGGAGTAGAGGAAGCAGCAGAAGCCAACATCAGCGACATCGGGAACTTTGCAAAGAGCAGGAAGTCCTTTAACGCAAAGAAAGAAGGAGAGGAAGGTTTGGTACAATAATACAGAGGTATCGCAATAGGCTCAAGGCCTCCGAGTGAGGAATCAAACAGGATCCCAAACCCCAGCAACCTAACCTTTATTTCTTTAAACTAAGTATGTTAGATGACTGGTAGAATATAAAAATATTTATACAACAAACAGCCATGTAGAAAAAAGGTAAATGTAGTTTGTAGCCGCTTAGGTGGGAATTCTAGTTACTTGGGAGGAACTAGTTCCTTAGTTCTAGTTCCTTTATAGAAATCTTTCCTTGACCTAGGTCTTTATTTTAATATACAATTATTCATAGACTGACTCAACATTGACATCCCTTGCTTGCTAATGCGTTTTTAAACGGACATATACTATAGTTCAGTATGATCTGTATGTCTTTTTATAAATTTGGTGGGTGTTTTTGTCATGTCAAAATTGTGTATATGAACATAGGGATAGGAAGAAGAACTCTCGTTGCATCGTCATCAATGACACCATGCGTCGTCTTATGGAGCTTAAGTTGGTGGTCGTATTATGATGTGCCGCAACGAAAGTTATTTTAATTTCCCTTAGGTAGGTTTTATTGCAGATAAAAAAATATAAAAAAGAAAACTCAAATCAATAGAGTTTAAAAAACTATATCACAAATCAACTAGAGCAAATATTACAAAAATTTTACGAAAACTGCATTTTTCCTCACTTCAAGCTTTTTGTTTTCGTCTAAAAATTCAGAACATCTACTTTGTTTTATATAAGATATTTCTTAATTTTAGGAGCCTAGTGAAACATTCCCCATAAAATATTTAAAAACAAACTAAAATTAAAAACAGTGTCCACAATTTTCTGTGGTGATTACGCCGCGCCGGCTGTGGCAATAGACAAGGCCGCAGTCCATCGCCGTCGCCTTGTATTATATCTACGGATCTGCCGACTGAATAGCCAGTGGTAGATAACGAGACTCCAGCTCAGCCACTGGAGCACAAAAGCAACTAGTCTTTTAATAGTTCCTCTATGTCCGGATCCGATAACATACGGCTGGCACTCCCCACGCCTGCCTAGCATCAATCGCGCTGGCTGATCCATACGTAAACTAGTCTTTTATTTAGTTCCTCTAGTTCCTTTAGGTCCGGATCCGATAACGTGCGGCTGGCACTTCCCACTCCTACCTACAATCGGGCTACGCGCGCTAGCCGATCCGTCGCCGTCGCATCATTCTATATCGGTCACAGTCTCGATCCCCGAATAGGTCCTGAGGAACTAGTTCTTTGAGAAACCAGGAACTAGTTCCTTTCATTCCGGGGTCGGAATAGTTCATTGGAACTAGTTCGTTCACGAACTACACACCTCTAGTTTTTAGCCGCTTATATTTGTTCAAATGATACTAAGTTTGTGTAAATTAAAACTGTATATTTATACGGTATTTTTATAGAAGTCTTAAATACCTAATTCCCTTCATTTTAATAAAATTATTCATAGACGGACTCAGTGACAAAGAGATCTATTTATTACCGCTAGTATTTTTTTACACGGTATTACTACTCGTAGTCCACATTACGTCTATTTATAAAGTTGGTGGGTGTTTTTGTCATGTCAAACCTTAAACACGCTTTAAAATCTATTAATTTATCTTTCTGTAAATGTCCAGATAACTGAGTTAGCTCTGGTTTTACTTCAGGATTGGCAAACACAGTTTCTTATGAACTATTACAAAGTAAAATATTTATCTTTGATTTCTCTGTGGCGCAGTTAAGTAATAAGTAATTTTTTAAACTTATTTTGTAACTTATTGTCAATTGCTTCTCAACTTGTGAGTAACAAATAGATTTATGCAAATAAGAATAATTATCACATGTAAAATACTAACCTTTGCAAGGACAAGGAAATTGTTTCCAAATAGTAGCTTGTAAAAAAATAAAATAATGTTTTATTAAATTAATTATACTAAGTAACTAATAGAATATTATTTTTAATTTTATTGCGTTCTAACAAACCAGCGTGTTGTAAACATCAATACATCTTTTTGTAGGAAATTAAACGGCAATACTTAACAAGTTTATTAAATAGCAATAACAATATAGTCACAAAATGTACTGGGATGTATCACGACAGAAACTTAAATTCGTAAAATTTTCCCCCAAACTCATAAAATAAATTGGAATTGTTCGAATTATTAACCAAAAACTGTTAAAATTATTGTGCATCGAAGTTTGACGATGAATATCTTTTAAACGTTTAATTTAATCGACTAATCATAAGAAACCATTTTTGTATAGCAGTAAATTTCTTACAAAAACATGAGTTGCGCTTATCATACTGATTTTTTGTTAACGAGTTATCAGATTCATAAGAAAAAAGAAATCTGCCTTAAAATAATCAAACTTCAACCTTTAATAACTTTCGAACGGTGAGGTTTACAAAAAAATTGTAAGATATTTTTTTTGTCGAGAATTCAATTTCCTACAAATAAATATTTAGAGATATTTTTTCCAAATAGTAGATACCGAGATATGAATTTTTCTTTCTAATATTAAGGAAAAAAATAGAAAACTGAAAGGCGGAGAACCTTCCTATTAAGCTTAAGAGCTCATACTTGGAGATAATTTTTTGAGGTGTCTACCAACCTGTTTTTCAGAGCATAAAGTGAAAAAAATAGTCTATTTTTTTGACTCACCCTAATAGTAATTGAAATAAATCAATAAAATTCATTAAAAACAACTACAGAAGACGCTAACCTGGATTTCTCCGTCGACAAAAACATCAAACAAACAATTCTAATTTAAATAATACTCCTACCTTTCTTATTCCAGATCGAAGCCTCACTTCCCGAATGCAGCCTACAATACCCATCGATCAAATCCGCCAAACTCTCCGCCACGTCCACGCTGGGACACGTAAAAAACAACACCTCGTGCGTACTGGCCACCTTCAGTTGCAACGTGGCCTTCGAATGCTCCTCGCAATCGCTGACCAGCGTCTGTATTGCTTGGATCTGGTTGAAATCGATCTTCTTGGTGGGCGACGCTTGTATCCCAATATGCGGCCCAATCACCAACTCCACAGGCACGGTAAAACTACTTCCGTAATCCACTTCAAACCTCTCCTGGTCGAAGTTTGTGTGGTGTTTCAACGTTTCCATGTACTGGAACATGCAGTCGAATTCGCTCATGTGTACGTTCTTTGTAAGGCTGGTCCTGGATGCTTTTTGGAGAGATTTTATTTTATTTTTCTAGCAAAGTGCGGTATGAATTTTTGCAAGCCAACTTCTCGTTCGATGTACTCGAGGCTGAATTTCTTCTCCAAACCGCTGGGGGGCGTATCTTTTAGGTATGTCGATTTCTAGGACAGCAAACAGTTGCTACAGCCACGCTTTGGTCGAGCTTTTTGTGTAGTCGGAATGATAATCGCTCCTGACCTGGAAAATGGATAACCCTTGATTAAGAGGAACGATTGACACCATTGAATAAAAGTACTCTCTTTCAATTTCTTTAATATTCATAAATTAAAAAGGGGAGCTCTTAATAGGTATTGAAACAAACTTTATGTCAATTTTGTTTGACTCGTTGATGGTGAATTTTGATTTAATTTGAGTTTGGTACCCTTCTATGTTTATTTTATGTTTTTTTTCTAATGTGTATAAATCTGGAAATATATTATCAGGACAGAGTTAAGACTTGAATTACAGTGGGATTATTACTAATATTGGACAGGTTCAAAAATAGTTACATATGCGGCATACAATCATCCTCAGATTTAAAACACGAATAATAATGACGTTTCAGCGTTGCTTGAAAGAATTATTGGTGAATACGCAATCTAATGGGCAAATTCGTGATAAGACTGATTTGATTTCCCCTTCGTCTCAAGTGCTATATGGTGGAGCCCCTACTCGTTCTGCGGCCAACGCATTAAACACTCATTTTTCTTTAATTTGGATGGCGAAGACATATCGAAGACGGTGTGGGACTGAAAGCGACAGTGTTTGCCATATTAAAATGTATATCTGTCTTTTCCATTCAATGGTGTCAATCGTTCCTCTTAATCAAGGGTTATCCATTTTCCAGGTCAGGAGCGATTATCATTCCGATCTACACAAAAAAGTCGACCAAGACGTGGCTGTGCAACTGTGCTGTCTAGAAATACGAAAATACCTAAAAGATACGCCCCCCAGCGGTTTGGAGAAGAAATTCAGCCTCGAGTACATTGAACGGGAGGTGGGCTTGCAAAAATTCATACCAGGCACTTTGCTGGAGAAAATCAAATCGAAATCCCTCAAGAAAAGCATCCAAGCCCACTTCAAAAAGAACATGGTGAGTCATTTCATCATTCAGTACATGAAACCATGAAACACCAAAACTCAAATAAGGTTTAGTCACAGTTTGTCTGGCGTCGCCCACCGAGAAGATCGATTTCAACCAGATCCAAGCAATACAGACACTGGTCAGCGATTGCGAGGAGCATTCGAAGGCCACGTTGCAACTGAAAGTGGCCAGTACGCACGAGGTGTTGTTTTGCGTGGCCAGCATTGGACGTTGGCGGATTTGATCGATGGGTATTGTAGGCTGCATTCGGGAAGTGAGGCTTCGATCTGGAATAAGACAGGGTATTAATTAAATTGTTTGTTGTTTTTTGTCGACGGAGAAATCCAGGTTAATCTTGTGTAGTTGTTTTGTGAATTTTATTGGTTTATTTGAATGATTATTAGGGTGAGTCAAAAAAATGGACTATTTTTTCACTTTATGCTCTGAAAAAGGTTGGTAGACACCTCAAAAAATTATCTCCAAGTATGGGCATAGGAAGGTTCTCCGCCTTTCAGTTTTCTATTTTTTTCATATTAGAAAAGAAAAATTCATATCTCGGTATCTACTATTTGGAAAAAAGTATATCTAAATATTTATTTGTAAGGAGGCCCAAATTCCTCCACAAAAATATCTTACAATTTTTTTGTATTTTTCGAAAATTATTGTTAAGGTTGAAGTTTGATTATTTTAAGGCAGATTTGCTTTCTTATGAATCTGATAACTCGTTAACAAAAATCAGTATGATAAGCGCAACTCATGGTTTTGTAAGAAATTTACTGCTATACAAAAATGGTTTCTTATGATAAGTCGATTAAATTAACCGTTAAAGATATTCATCGTCAAACTTCAATGCACAATAATTTAACAGTTTTTTTTTTTTTTGTTTATTAATAAAATTTACTATTTAAGTTTTTAAGTGAAGTTTAACACCCTGTAATGTTTTCCTGAAATATATACATCCTAGTACATTTTGTTACTTATATTGTTATTAATAAACTCGTTAAGTATTGCCGTTTAATTTCCTACAAAAAGATGTATTGATGTTTACAACACGCTGGTTTGTTAGAACGCAATAAAATTAAAATATATTCTATTAGTTACTTAGTATAATTAATTTAATAAAACATTATTTTATTTTTTTACAAGCTACTATTTGGAAACAATTTCCTTGTCCTTGCAAAGGTTAGTATTTTACATGTGATAATTATTCTTATTTATAAATCTATTTGTTATAAAGTTGAGAAGCAATTGACAATAAGTTACAAGTTTAAAAAAGTTACTTAACTGCGCCACAGACAAATCAAGATAAATATTTTACTTTGTAATAGTTCATAAGAAACTGTGTTTGCCAATCCTGAAGTCAAACCAGAGCTAACTCAGTTATCTGGACATTTACAGAAAGATAAATTAATAGATTTTAAAGTGTGTTTAAGGTTTGACATGACAAAAACACCCACCAAATTTATAAATAGACGTAATGTGGACTACGAGTAGTAATACCGTGTAAAAAAATACTAGCGGTAATAAATAGATCTCTTTGTCACTGAGTCCGTCTATGAATAATTATGGCTTGAAACAGAGGGGAATTAGGTATTTAAGACTTCTATAAGAATACCGTATAAATATACAGTTTTAATTTACACAAACTTAGTATCATTTGAACAAATATAAGCGGCTAAAAACTAGAGGTGTGTAGTTCGTGAACAACCTAGTTCAATGAACTATTCCGACCCGGAATGAAAGGAACTAGGTAGTTCCTGGTTTCTCAAAGAACTAGTTCCTCAGGACCTATTCGGGGATCGAGACTGTGACCGATATAGAATGATGCGACGGCGACGGATCGGCTAGCGCGCGTAACCCGATTGTAGGTAGGAGTGGGAAGTGCCAGCCGCACGTTATCGGATCCGGACCTAAGGGAACTAGAGGAACTAAATATAAGACTAGTTTACGTATTGATCAGCCAGCGCGATTGATGCTAGGAAGGCGTGGGAGTGCCAGCCGTATGTTATCGGATCCGGACATAGAGGAACTATTAAAAAACTAGTTCACGAGAATCTATTCAATGGGCAGATCCGAGATATAATACAAGGCGACGGCGATGGATTCGGCCTTGTCTGTTGCCACAGCCGGCGTAATCACCACAGAAAATTGTGGACACTGTTTTTTGATTTTTTAGTTTGTTTTTAAATATTTTTATGGGAATGTTCACTTTAGGCTCTAAAATTGAAATATCTTATAAAACAGAAGTAGATATTCTGAATTTTTGGTAAAAATAGCTTTAGTAGAAAAAATGCAATTTTCAAAAAAAAAATTTTTGTGATATTTGCTCTAGTGATTTGTGATATAGTTTTAAACTCTGATTTGAGTTTCTTTTATCTTTTATCTGCAATAAAACTTACCTATAAGGAAATTAAAATAACTTTCGTTGCACATCATAATACGACCACCAGCAAACGCCATAAGACGACATGGTGTCATTGATGACGTGCAACGAAGGTTGTTCCAATTTCCCTATATGTGTTTTTAACATACACAATTACACGTGTCGTTATATCTCCGTACATTATAAAAATTATACAGATCATACTGTGAATAGTTCTGTCTAACCACCAAACGCATTAGCAAGCAAGGGGGATGTCAATGTTAGTCGGGAACTATTGTGAACTAAAGACCTAGTTCAAGGAACTAATTCCTCTGGAGGAACTAGAACTAAGGAACTAGTTCCTCCCAAGGAACTAGAATTCCCACCTCTACTACAAACTACATTTACCTTTTTTTCTACATGGCTGTTTGTTGTATAAATATTTTTATATTCTACCACTCATCTAACATACTTAGTTTAAAGAAATAAAGGTTAGGTTGCTGGGGTTTGGGATCCTGTTTGATTCCTCACTCGGAGGCCTTGAGCCTATTGCGATACCTCTGTATTATTGTACCAAACCTTCCTCTCCTTCTTTCTTTTGCGTTAAAGCACTTCCTGCTCTTTGCAAATGTCCCGATGTCATGTTGGCTTCTGCTGCTTCCTCTACTCCCTCCAAAAAACTGTGCCTTAAAGTTTTAAAGCGTTGGTATTCCAGTGCCGTACAGTGGCACAGCAGATGATCTATGATTTCTTCTTCGTCTCCGCATTCTCTGCAGTAGTCGTCGTTGGAAATCTTCCATCTCACGAGGTTTACCCCAGGGGCAGTTTCCAGTGACGACACCTACAATAATGCGTACTAGGTTATTTTTGTGCTCCATTGGTTGTTTTGTCTTTTTGCAATCTACCACTGGCCACAGTCTTCGAGATGTAGCGCAGTCCTCACGGTGTTGCCACATGTCTTACTGCTTGGCCTTGATGGTATTTCCTATAGCATCCTTCAGTGTGGTATCGTCACGAGTGGTGGGTCATCTGCCTGGTAACTAACATTATGTTATTTGCTAATATTTTTATTATATTTCTTTGTCCGTTGTAATTATAATTTTTGATGGGCTACAATGTAAAGAATTTAGAAACTTTAATAGTATATTACATACCGAGGAGAGAAGTGTTTCTGTCGAGAGATTAACTAAATATCGAGACAATAATGAAAAACTTTACGAGTTTGTATACTATTTATTTTTTTTTTTTAATTAAAAAATTGAGACAGTATTTTATTTTGAAAAAAATAAATATGCGAAAATTTGTCGTTTTCTGTTTTGGCATTTCCATCTATAGTTACCGGTACCGGTGGTTGTTATGGCGCAAACCTTCAACAACAAAACAAACAACTAAGTGACAGTTTTAATTTCTCGTTCGCTTTTCGAATTTATATAACATAGAAAGCCAGAATGTGAAAGTTCTGATAATGAAGACTACTTTTAATATTGGTACTCCACAAGAACTTACAGAAGCTGCAAAAGAGCAGAAGCCAGTTTACTGCCAGAAGAAAGTAGGGGCGATAAAATAGCATTGAAAGTATACGAAAATAATTGTAG